TACGGTTTTCTGCAGTTTCCTTGCAAAACTGCTATCAGTTAGTCTGGACTCCTTAAAGACAATCTTTCTGTGATTGCTGGGTGGCAATGACCTGGTTTTGTATTACTATTATAAACCCCTCCAACTTATGGAAATAAATCCACATGACTTGGGCACTTGTTTCATCCGTCATTGTTGACATATTTCTGGTTGAGTGTATATCTGTGTCAACCAAAGAAAGCCTCTCAGTTCCATCCTTGGATCTCAGCCATTTCATAGAATCTCTCTGGAATTCACCAGAGAACTTATAGAAGGCATGCACCTATTGTCCTTCTCCTTTAGCTTCTTCTTAACCAGTATCTCCATAGAATCTTGGGAAATAGAGCTGAAAGGGACTTTACTGGTCATCCTATACATCATTTTATGGATGAGGAAACTGAAACCAAGAGAAGTTAAATATATTGCTAAAGATCACATAGGTAGAAGTTGCAGAACTGGGATTCATAGAGACTCTTAGAGTGGACGGAGTCTCCGAGGTCATTGGGTCCAAATCTAGATTCAAAATGGAGTCCTCTGATTCCCAAATCCAGAGATCTTCCTACTGTAACATGATTCAGGTTTGGAACTCATGTTACTTAGTCCAGTTGGTTATTAATCCACTCTATTTTGGATATCTGATTAAGTTTACCCCTTATCATGATTAATGACATGGGCATCTCCTAGGCCTTATTGCTTTTTCTAGGGTTATTAAGCTCTATTCCTACATTGCCTTTTCCATTATGCAATTTTGCACACTGCTGCCTGAGTTAATTCTTGTTCATATTAGTTTCGAAAGTACAGGCTACCTTCTTAGAGATCCCTACAAATAGACAAATCCGAGAATATTTGTTCCTAACATAAAATGCTTCGGACAGCTACTCATTTTCTCATCAAAGCTGACTTTTTTCAAAATTCTGTCAATTCTTCTGATAATATCAGGTAATTAGGTATTAATGGTCTTTTAACATTTCTTTTTAATACATGCTAATCTCCTTTTTAACAAGGTGAGTGCCTTCCAGAAGTAGTTAGGGAGCAAGGCCAGAATGGTACCAGGGAGGGAACAATCAAGAAGATGCAAATGTTCAGAACTGAAACTGTCCGAGTGTGAGAATCAGGATGGTTTCCTGTATACTACACAATAAAAATTTGTCAGGTCTTCCATCACAATCAACTTTTAAAGTCTTACCCACTATGCTTTCCAAGACATTGCTCTTCTAGATTGCAAAGTGGAAATAAATGGGTTTTTTTGTTTGCTATACCTTAAAACCAGCAATAATAAGCTGCTTTGTATTATACAAAATCACTTTCCTTAAAATAATCTTGATAAATAGTTAATATTATTAATAGCAAATATTGTTAACCTCCATCTTGGCCTTGTGCTATCTTGAACATACATGTATAAACAGAAAGGTTTCTGTGATTTTTTTTCTAGAGTGAGGAACTCCTTGTGTTGGAACTCCCTCTAGCAATGGATATCTAACCTGTTGTTTGTTTTCAGTCATGTCCATCTATTTGTGACTCTTTCAGGGGTTTTCTTGGCAAAGATACTGAGTGATTTGCCATTTCCTTCTCTAGCTCATTTTACAGATGAGGAAACCGAGGCAAACAAGGTCAAATGACTTGCCCAGGGTTACACAGCTAGTAAGTGTCTGAGTCTGAATTTGAAGTCAAGTCATCCTGACTCCAGGCCTGGCACTCTATCCACTATGCCACCTACCTGCCCATATTCAACTTATTCATGACTTATTAAGAATGGTCCTAGAGAATTATCTGAGGCACTCAGAGCTTAAATTATTTGCTCAGGATTGTACAGCTAACAAATATCAAAACTCAGATTTAAATCTAGTTCTTTCTAATGTCTAGCCTAGCTAGTACTTTACTACTTTGCCATATTAGAGGTAACTAAGTGTTACAGTAGATCGCTCACAAGGCCTCAAGTCAGGAAGATCTGAGTTCAAATATGACCTCAGATACTCATTAGCTGTATGATCCTGGAAAAGTCACTTAACTACTGTATGCCTCAGTTTCCTCAACTGTAAAATGAAGATCATAATAGCACCCATCTCCCAGGGCTGTTGTTAGGATCAAATGAAATAATATTTGTCAATTTCCTGGAATATATTAGGTACTTAATAAATGCTTATTCTTTCCGTCTCTTTACTACTTCTATTAAAACACATACTCTATATTAAATTAACCACTTCAGGTTTTTTCTTTCTTATCAAGTGAATACAAACATGTAAACAAAAGTGATGCTGAAATACTGCCTCCAGAAATGTTAACTATATTATGATCCTAGAGAGGTAAGAAACATGGAGCTCCTCACTTTATTTCTGGGGTCTTGGTATTTTCAAATGTAGAGTGAAAGTACTGCCTGGAGGATTTCTAAGTTTTCTTCCACCTGTATAATTCTATGGTCCCATAAGCTGCCTTTAAGATAGAGGAATGTTTTTCTAGGATATGAAGATGCCAGATTATTAGGTTATCACATTTAATGTACCACATTTCAAACAATATTATTTTGACATCTTCTCTTCCAACAGAGCTGACAATAGCATTTCTAAAAGTGCTCAAAACATAAGATAAAAAAGCTTAAAGATCATTTTATCACATGGTGGTTTGTTTTTCAGATAGTGGAGATTCATATTCAAGGCATAAGCAATGTAGCTTATAAAACTAAGGCCAAAGACACATTATTTCCATCTTCTATTAATAGAATCACAAAAATAATTTATTTAGAATTCATCACAGTGGATTTAGAATGTCAAATCATGGATTAATTGGAAAGGATACCTTTCAAAGTTCATTGCTGCACTTCCAGGTATTTCTGCTCTTTAACTTGTAGGTATTTCCTGTGAGGGTTGATTCCAGAGCATACAAGTTGTGATGTTGAAAAAGAGAATTACTGAATGGTGCCAATTCACCCTTTTACATTTTGGTAAACACTTCTTTTCTTGGATGAAAACAAGAGAAAAGTCTCCTTCATCTCTTTTCTAGATAGCACAGCTCATCCCAGATAACACTCATGTTTAATTATGTACATGTGCCATTTTTCAATAAAATGTCTGATTCTGAAGATTAGGGACTTTTTCATTCTTTGTATGTACCACTGCATGGCACATAGTAGGTGCTTAATCCTTGTTGATTGATTAATTGGTCAATGGAATGTCAAGAATCATGTTGAAGTTTCCATAGTGGAAATTGATAGAGGGCCTTCTTTCTCAGAACATACGTTTTCTTTAGGTAGAAGGGCCTGAGAATAAACCTGTAAAAAACTGAACTGCTCTCCTGAAAATGCAGTGGGCCTACAGCCAAGTCTAGAAAGGTCAGACTCCATTGATTGTGGTTACATGTTTTCACATATAACTGATGGTTTTAACCATCTGTCAAGATAACCACCAATTAGGGTTATGATTTGTAACTATGCTGCACTTGAGATTCAGGGCAATTTCCAAAATCTCTCCCGGAGAGCTGTTTAAAATGCATCTAACATAAGATAAATGGTTAAGTCAGAAATTGTAACATTATAAAATATGAAGGAAGGGATATTGTAGTAAAAGAAGGCAACTGAGAAAAATAAGTACTAAAAAAAGAGAATTGGAAGATAGTACTTGTTAATGTGTCTTCGGAACCATATATGAGAAGGTACAACTTGAAATAACTAGTCAGGTTCCTTAGAAGGGACTATCCCAAAATGAGAGCTGTAATAACAACTAGGTTTCCTTAGCTTAATGTGAACAATTTTTTAGTAACACCAAGTTTCTAGTTTCTGAGTCTTAGTTCACCAAGAAATTTTCCAATTTACTATCTGTTCTCCTGAACAAGTTTTAATTTAGAATTCTGGCGATAGGGTCAAATGAAGTTATGCAAATGGTTGGGAGTGGTTGGGGGAAACATGGTTTAAGGTATAACAACTTTTCCATGTAATGAGGTAGACTAGAATCAGGGCTTTTTTTTTTTTGTATTGCTATCACTACGTATCTGCTGCCCTCCATGACTCTCTTCCACCAAGTAGAAGCCCTTTCTTAAAATAATTAAATGTTAGTCAAGCAAAACAAATCCATTCTTTGACTGAGTCTAAAACTATGTCTCTTCCTGCATGTCTAGTTCATCCACTTCTCTGCCAAGACATGGGAAGTGTGCTCATCATTGATCAGTCTTTTGATATTAACATTTGTCGTTGCATTTTCAGGAGATCAGTTCAATTTTGTACATGTTTATTCTCAGGCCCTCCTACCTAAAGAAAATGCAAAAAAAAATGGAAAGGCTAATGTCTTTCCTTAGTCCCATGTATGAGGTGCTAAGAGAGAAAAAGATTTTGAGAGGGTACCAAGAAATATGGCCCCTTTAGGAGAAAGCTAGGCTTCAGTGATCACTAGAAGTAAGAAAGAACAACATATGCAGGATCAAAAGGATTTTTTTATAGTAGAGGAAGATTATAGAGGATACAAGGTAAACCAAGGCCAGAGGACCACAGAGGCTGAGGAGGACCAGGGATGAGATGGATACAGATGAGATGGTGGATCCAGGTAGCAGGGGAAACAGGTATTTGCTTATATAATGTGGTTCTTGTAGGGATTTGAAAAGCAGGCAATAGGAATCTGTTAACATAGATCATGGAAGATATCTAGTATAGAGAATTTTTTAAAACTCCCAGCTTCTAATTAGAATGGGGAGCAAGTACCTCTATAGATTCTGACAATAAGGTGGAGCTGACCTAGCTGATTACAGTGGTGGAGGAGAGAAGGGCAGAATATTTGTTTGAAAGGAAATATATCCACTGTTATCATCATCACTGATGAACATTTATTCTGTGTTTATTCTGTGCAGGGCACTGTGCTCTGTGTTAGGCAGACCAAAGGAGAGCTCTGAAGTGCCCAGTTTTTACCTCTAAGAGTTTACTATGGGCACAGGGAATGGTAAGTGCTCCATATTGTCTTCACCTCAGAACCTGCATTGATCGCAGCCATTTTCTGTTTCAGGTTGCCACGCTACTGTAGGAGTCCACCCTAGAGGGTAATAAATTAGACCTGAGAAAAGGGGTGTGATGGCCAAAGGACTTGGAGAAGAGAGGAGCGGATTGGTTTGGTGAGTAAATAAATACAGTTGGGTGGGCTGGCACTCCACCAAGGTGAGGAAACATGCCTCCTACCAGTCCCCTTGTAATTCCTTCCCCTACAGCCACCAAAAAGTACCTGGGGGAAAAGGTCTTGTTTTGCCATATCTGTTATGGGTTTTCCACACCCGAGTGAATCTACCCATTAGCAATGGAGTTTTGTTTGTAGGTGACTAGTTTTGAATGCCAAGCCAGATGCAACTCCCACTGTAAATTTTAAAAATTGGCATTCTGATTTAAAAAATCATCACCCTGAAAGTTTTGATTAGTCTGAATCAATTCCACGAATCCTTATCATCCCTGGATGAATGAATAAAATGGAGTTTCTGAACCGTGACAGCATCATGGACAAAAGGTTAGCCTGCCTCCTAACAGACACTTTTTACCAATTTTGGGTTAAGTCTTAGGCGGACTTTCCAGGTGTGGCAGCTGTGTGCAGCAAAGCAATGGATACATGCTTTTTCCCCTATGCATGGGGAAAGCAATTTTCCCTAGTTCACCAGCAGTGATAACCACAAAATGCTGGTATTACAAAAAGGGAACATGGCAAAGCACAAGATAAAATCCTTTCAGTTTACACAGACTGAAATAATTTACTTTCAGTATCTGCAAAGGGAAAGCAGTGGCCTGAGTAATAAATGACCTCGAATCTGATTTATGCTGATTAGAACCACACTTTAAAAAACAGCCTTTTGGTCGCGTTGAGATTAATGCTGATTTTACTTAAGTAGCATGTGATGGTGATGCCATTCACAAAATGGCCTTGGATAAACCAATCATTTGCCTTCTCATCTCATCAATAAAAAAGCCATTTCACTCTGAAGTAAAATAAAGTGGGCTTCTTTGCTAGGCACAGCTATAAAGTGGAACCAAATAGAAAAATTCAGAAATAAACCCAGGGGAGTAAATTGCTAGCTGAGGAGATTCCAAATATCCAGCTTCCCCTTTCTCTGATGAAGTGCTATACATGGCAAAGATTTTTGTTATGCCATAGAGCTTATTAACTATTAAAAAAGTGCTGAATATCTGTGGAGTGATTTTGGTTTGTTGACAAAAATAGCTCAGATTCCTTTACATAGTGCTCAGTACAGTCAAAGCCTGTTTTTTTTAAAAAAATCTAAAACACAACACACAAAATGAGCATTTAGAAGCCACTTGAAAGCAACAATTAACTTAGTATATGCCACTAGAATTTCTGCTCCCTAATTTGCTTAGGCACATCAGTTACTGCCAGGCAAACCAGTAATAAATTCAGCACAGCATTCCAAAATAAGGGGATAGTATATGGTATGCTAAATAGGGAACTACCATTCTGTAAGGAAATGATGTAAATTTAAAAATTAAATGTATTCTTCTTTTGAGCTCATGTTACTTTGTGGATGTGCCAGCACATTAATAATTCAATTCAATGGATATATATCTATATTATATATATGATACATATATTATATACATTTTTACAGAGAGAGAGAGAGAGAGAGAGAGAGAGAGCGCACAACTTTATTAAGTGCTAGAGTAACAAATGCAGAAACTGATTACAGTCATTACCCTCCATGGGCCCATATTCTAATGGAGGTGGTAGGGGAGTAAGATATTATCCCCACTCCATTGTTCCCATATGGTGAAAATTATATCACTCTGCTACATTTATCCATCATCATTGAGTAATGAGGTATTCTACATAAATGAATTTTCTAGATGACTGGAATTGCAAAAAAGATATGGGAAGCTGAAGAAAAGAACGTTGGAAACAATGCTCTCTCAAAGGACAGATGTGGGATGAGATGGAAGGAAATCTCAAGATATTCAGAGATTTCCTAGATATAACAAGATAAGCGCATCCTGATATAAGAAACATCTTTTTTTTTTTTTTGGCTAGGCAATGGGGTTAAGTGACTTGCCCAGGGTCACACAGCTAGTAAGTGTTATGTCTCTGAGGCTGTATTTGAACTTGAATCTTCCTGTATCCAAGGTCAGTGCTCTATCCAAAGAAACATCTTTTTAAAAAAGTCAGTCAATCAATAAACATTTTAAAGCACCTATTATATGAAAGTTACTGTGTTAAGCTATGGGCTTTATAACAACAATACTTTGCTGGTGATGATATATGGCTATGAATCGTGGACTACCACGATTTTCAAAGAACAAAATTGTGGGTCATCAGAAAGGCCATGGTGAGGTCCTTGGTGATTATAAAAAAGCAGAATTTTATTACCAGTGGCTTATACACAAAAGCAGAGTGAAGCGTAACACCAAAGAGGTACATAACCAGCAAAGGAGGCGGGGCAGTTATGTAGCTAAAACAAGGAATAACAAATGAACACCCTAAGGACTATATTAGCATCCATGTAATACCACAGGATCTAGAGGAAGGTTCTTAGCATGTTGGGTGGACTACATGTGAATGGATAAGATTCAAGCAGAATAAGAAAGTATGAGGTCTACCGTCTACACTATTGGATGAATTACCAAAATTGAAGTACTGAAGAAGAATCACAGGATGAGAGCCTGTTGTTTATCAGTTCTAAAAGACTAAGGATCACTGGTTTAAGTGTGTAGGTGATGGAGATGGATTGAGAACAGGCTTGTGAGAAAACCACCTTCAGATGATCACTAGAGTGAGAACTACCCACTCAGGAAGCATCTCAACTGATGTAGTTCAATTCAATTCAACAAACATTTAACAGTCATCTACTACCAGCAAGTGGAAGTGTGGCAAAGAGACAGCTTGCTGAAACACATAGCACATTGTTACCCTGGGCAAATTACCCTTAACAAGAGCCTTTTGTGTCTCTAGGTACCACTCTATGACTCTACATTGAAGAGCAATTTCCAGCCTGTGTGGATGGTGGGTGTGTTCTCATCTGAGAGTACTCGATACCAATGAAATCACAGGTCCAGACCCTATCTCTTACCTGCAAGTCACCGTGCACGTCACTAGGGACTCAAAGATAAAAACAAAATACACTTATCATCAATCATTCATTCATTTATTCATTCAGTCAATATACATTTACTAAGCACCTACTATGTGGCAGGCACTGTGCTAAGCACATTTAACTTTGAGGGGGAATGGAAGAGAAAGATACAATATTTACTCAAGTAAATGCAAAGAGAGAGAGAGGGAGGAAGCATTAATAACTGGGAAGATCAGGAATGGCCTCGTGTAGGAGTGAATGTGACTTGGAAGATGTTCAGTATTTCAAGAGGTAGAGGTGAATAGGGAGTGTGTTCTAGACACATGCAATGAGGTGAGAGATGGATTGTTGTGTACAAAGTTCAGCAAATACATGTGTTTGACTGAAACAGAGAACATGGGAATGTGTGAATAGGAGAGAATAATTTGAAACTGTTTGAAAGTTGGTGGGAATCAGATTGAGGATAGCCTTAACTATCAGGTTAATGACTGTATTTAATATTAGAGGTAATAGGAACCATTGAAGATTTGGAGTAGGACAGATAACATGGTTGGATGTGTCTATTTAGAAACATCAGTTTGGAAGCTGTTCAGAGGATGGTAAAGGGGAAGAGACCAGAAGTGGATCCCTCATTTGGGCATCCTGAATGAGAACCACCTACATGTTCAGGGAGTTTGGAGTACTCCTCATATCCATAGATTGCCCATAGGAGCAAGCTACAATGTGAGGGAATGTTTGTTTTTCTTTGTGACAGAACGAAGGCCCAAATAACCTCTTCACCACTTATCATTTTCAATCTTCCCTTGTATATAGCCAGCTCCACAGTCTTTAAAGGAATTGGTTTGTTTTTTTATTTCTAAAGAAAACTACTTTACAGAGAACAGATAATAGACAGATAATTCACAAGCTAAAACTAGATCTCTATTAAAGCAGTAACTTACTTTGGGACTGCTTAAGTACCTTGAGTGTCTTGTTTTCCATCATGTCCGAGTAAGTTTTTCTAATAGCTTATGTACTTAGATGAATCTGTGACTTCAGATACTCCATTGCAGATTGCAAACTGTCCAGGTCTTCTTATCCTAGATGATTCATGACTACATCTTCCTTGAAATCTTCTCTAGAGGATCCATCTAACACACAAAAGCTTTCCTATACTTCTTTTAAAACCTGAGGCTGCCACCACAGCCATGGGTTGCTGCCTCTTATCCTTGCTTCATGATACCTGCTTTGGTCACATATTCCTGATAGTGTCTCTTATGATACCTCTTTCACGCAAATCTTTGTCATTACTATGCCACAACTATCATTTTTACATTAATATTTTGCAGATGAGTGAATATAGGTACCTGCAAATAAAGGAGCATGATCATCTTTGTTTCTTTGGGGAGTGGGGACAGTAACTTAACTGATAGATCAAGGGAATGCAACAGCTATAATTACCTCAGTTTTAGCAAAGCATTTAATAGAGTTCATATCCTTAAAGGAAAAATGAACATATCTGAACTAGTCAATAACAAAATTACATGTACTTAGAACTCTTTGAATGGCTAGAATTAAAGGGCAGTCAGTAATTATTAACTTTAAATTGGAAGGATATCTCCACTGGAGTGCCTCAGTGAAGTGGTACCATTCAACATATTTTTTAAATCAAATAAAGTCATAGATGGTAGTTTTTCTCACTTGCAGCCACCATAGCAAGTAGATGACAGTCAAGAACAGTAAGCTAATGAAATTTGATGAGGATAAAAGTCTTAGATTTGAGTTCAAAAATCATCTTCACAGTTATAATGGAGGAGATGGATGAGGAGGAGACATAGTCAGACAGTGTGGTGGGTAAAAGATGAAATGACTGAGGGAACAAAGGTTCGAGCTGCTGAGCACATTGATTTATTAAACAATGCATGTCAATTGTCTAACAAATTGGGGCCAGGCCCAAGAAGCAGAGCCCCTTTCAGAGCTCCTTTTAGAATTAGGCCTATTTCAGAATGTCTGAGAGAAGATTTCCAAGGGCCAGACGACTACATGAGACATCTGGGACACAAGACAAAATATAC